ACCAATTAAGATAATTAATTAAAGAAATAGTAATCTCTCTATATTGTTAGTTAATATATATCGTTGTCTCACTTATTTTAAAAGAAAACAAACAAATACATGACACATAGAAAATATATATGACAAATGTGATAAAAATAAAAAGAGTAATTAAACAATGTGATAAAGATTACATCCGATTTCAATTCAGAAAATCACAAACACATTACAAATAGAGAATACATATGATTTATATAGATACTACACATCCGTCGAGTCATTGTTTAGTGGGATCTGACTTGTACAAAATCGACGTGTATGTCCTGTAGCGCCGCACCTCCCGCACTTACGCGGTTGTGGAAACTCTCCTGTAGATGGTATTCTAGACATCCGTCTACGATCAGGAGTACGCGATGGAGCTTCAGGTGGCAACAAATTATTAAGTGCTACAATATAATCAGGAACTTCCCACTCGGCTTCATTTGGTAGAGGAAATATAGTTTCGGCATACGCTGCTCTCCAAAAATCAGTCATATAATAATGACTGCACAAGCTGTGTGGTGGAAATCCTCTATACATAGCCACTGCGACAGCATGTGCACATGGAAAACTTTCCAACTGAAATTTTCTACACGTGCAGATATTGTCATTCAAATCTACAATGTATCCAACATTATGCCCACATCTCACGGAGAAGCGAAATTGATCTAGTGGTTCCACAAATAGAGCTTTTGCCACTTCCAGAGTTTTGAATAGTCGATCTTCCTGTGCCGGAGCTAGCACACTCGTGCAATTTTGGGATTCTTCACGTCGGTCATAAAATCACTGTTGCAACTTGCTGCGAATATGTTCAATCATTGCGAGAATCGGTAACTCTCGATCCTTCTTGAATAATGCATTGAACGACTCTGCATTATTCGACGTCATCATGTTGTATCGACGTTCTGAAAAATGTGACCGTGCCCAATGTTCGACCCCCATATTGATAGATATTCCCATGCACTTTCTGATTTATGTTCTATTTCGCCCATGAACTTTGTAAACTCTTTAAAGTTGTAAGCTTCTGCAGATCTCCTAAACAATGCAACGATACCACTGCCCCGGTACCTAGTTTTCAGATTGCCCTGAATGTGGTACATGCAATAACCATGATGTGCTTCTGGAAAAACTTCGGCTATACCATTTATTATTGACTGCCCCCGGTCAGTCACAAATGCAAGGTTCTCGATGTTCCCAATTACTTCTCTCAATTTCGTGAAGAACCAACGCATTGTTAGATCATTCTCTCCATCGACAATGCCAAATGCAAGAGGGTAAATTTGGATATTGGCATCTTGACAAGTAGCAATAATCAACTTTCCTTCATATCTATCTTTTAGGGTTGTACCATCAACTAGAATTAGAGGTCGCATCGCATTTAGAAAACCTCTAATGCATTGTCCAAGAGTCATAAAAAAACACTTGAAGCGATTCTGCCCATCGGTTTTAATAAAAAACGTCGAGTCAGAATTAGTTCTCATCATGTTGTGGCAATACCTGGCCAATTTGGCATAAATCTCCTCTGTCGAACCCATTAAATCTTCCAATGCACATTCTTTAGCCTTCCAGGCCTTCTGGTAACTTATAACCACCCCATACTCTCGACGGATGTCGTTGATGATATCTGTAGGTCTGTAAATCGTCCGTAGATCCTGAAACTTGTGCATTATCTGTCGACCAATAAACCATGATCGAGCTTGCCTGTGATCATTTTGACGAATACCCACTTCACAAGTATGTTCCCGCGCATACTTACGAACAACAAAGAACTCATTTGTGTCCATCTTTGTCGCACTCAAACGCCAACTGCAATTGTTGTCCACACAAATAATTGTGTATGTAGACTTGTTTGATTTTTTTACCTTAAACTCAAAATTATGTTTCATTGCAATTCGGTGCACGGCTTCTTGCAAATCTTTTTTCGTGTCAAACAATTGATCGACATGTAAATCTTCATCATCAGGAACTACACGCGAACAATTAGAAGACCGTGTACTCGGCTCAGCATGTGAGCTCCCACCAGACTCGTGTCTCTGTCTGGATAAAGCAATCAAATCCTGATTTGTAAATGGCCTTTCATCCTCGTTGTCTTGAACTTCCTCGTAAATCCTTCGTGTAACGGTGACATCATGGTGAGTAGCAACTGCCCCAGGAATAACCACATCATCCTCCCGAGCAATCTCAACAGTATCCCAAAAATCATTCTTATTACGATCCTCCATCAAAAACTTCGTGTTCACCCTCGATGACATTTTTCTTCAACAAACTTATTCAAATAGGAGTCGTCTTTCGACCTTGGTTCAATTGAATTAGATGCTTTATTTGCACTTCAGAAGTAACTTTCAAAAGTGGAATCGAAATTATTGAATGTTTTTGAAATAAAAATCTCAATTCCATATCGTACTGAGAGGAATCGACGTTAAGAATGTTTTGTATTTCACTGTACATTTCTGTAAACGAAGTATTTTTTGTTATTGAAATAGCAGCAACCCCTTCTCCTTCACTCGTCCATTTCCATTTCCATTCCCATTGACCATTTTCTTTCCTTTGAAATTCATCGAAATAACAGATTGGGACACATGCTTTTGCCATATCTGCATTACGAATTAAAAATATCAGAACAAATTATCAGAAATAAAATTATCAGAATCGAGGGGCGGGGAAGTCTGCAAACGGAAGGTCCAGACCGTCCGTTTACTCCGGCGTTCCGGCGTCTGATCGATGCCGGCCTGAACTTTGGCTCTAATATTATTTTTTCTACCATTTAAAAAAAATATACGACTTCAATAAAAATATAATTAAATACTAGGAAAAGATACTTACCGAATTGAAGGGCTGAAATTTAACTAAATTTTTCTGTTGAGGTTGATAACTGATAAGTTTATGAAATTTTGAGATTGAAGTGGATGAAAAATGAATGAGTTTTTATCGTATTAGAGTAAACTGATGAAAAGACTGACTTCGTTTTCAAATTTCAATTGAGAAGTGTTTGGATTTTTATTTGTAACTTAAGGATATTTTTGTCGTTTTACTATATTTCTATTTTTGTAATTATATAATTTATTTAAGAGCGTTTTTATCTTTTACACAAGAAATGACCATTATGGTGAATGTTAGACTTTTTTGATTAAAATGAAAAATTGTTGGTTTGACAAAGCCAAACTTAAAGTACCCCCTCCACTCTTCCCATTCCCAAATCCAAAGATTCCAATCCTGAAAGCTGAAACCATCTGCGACTTGAATTCTTTCTCTCGGCCTCTCACTCTCGTCTCTGACGGTGAGACTCGCGCCTCGAGTCCTCGACGGCTTCCATCGGCGATTCGGCAGAAGAAGAAGGTCATCGATATCCCGATGGCCCGTTCCTTGCCTCCGTATTCATCCCTCTCTTCCAACACCATATTTTTTCTCAACTCCAAACTCAGCTCCGAACAAGACTTAGATGTAGCCCCGACTCTACTCTCGGAGCTACGGACCGAGTGCGATGATCTCGACCAATCCCTCTCCGATCTCAACGCCCGGATCCAATCACACGTGACCCGACACACCTCCCAATCGGGACGGGTGGCATCCCTTTTCTCCAATATCCATGCCCAGTTGCATGGCCTCCAGCATTCTACCTCTCACTCTCCATCTGGTGCGAATATGTGCATTCACATTTATTTTGCACTTTAATTTTGATTGTGGCTTGTTTTGATTATGGGTTCATTTATTAATTAGCATATATTACTCTGTTCATAGATGGGGTATCGAGGAGGGGGATGGGGGAGGAATTACAGGCATTGGCGAAAGAGGTGGCGAGGGTGGAAACTGTGCGAAAGTATGCTGGTGAGTTTTTAAAATTTTTAATGTTTTCTGGATTTTATTTTGGCTAATTTCCATTGTGTCAAAGTGAGGATTTTTGAAAAAAAAAATAGATTATATCTTTTGGTAACATGGAGAAATAACCAGATTTTAGTGGTGCTTGTGAGAATTGAAATGTCATGGCTAACTCCACTCACTACACTACTCACCAACAACCAGTGCATTTTAGAATATTCTGTAGCTATTCTATAAATTCAGCACATGGAGGGAGGATGAAGGGCATGTCGAAGATTGTTAGCCTCAGGAAAAACGCCCCCCCCCCCCCCTTCCTCTAAGTCTCTGAATCTCTATCTCAGTTCTATCTCTCTCTTTCTTCTCTTCTTCCTCCTCTGATTCTGTCCTTTCTCTTTTTTCTGTATTCTTTGTTATTTCTGTGTAATTTTCAGTTCAATTAATAGATTCCAGCTTGGGTTATTGATTCCCAGCTGAATTGATCCATTATTTGTTGATTTGAATTGCATTTTATCTGGTTTTGGTTGAAGTTTTGATCCAACCATTACATGAAACATCAATTTGAGAAAGTGATTTTGTTGTGTCTAAATGGGTATGCAAGTTGAATTGATTTTGACATTGCAATGGGGATTTTTGAAAAATTATGAGCATATCTTTATGTTTAGGAAGTTATGCGACCAGTCAATGTATGGTTATTTTTATGGATTATGTGTTGTGCTATGTTTGTAATGTTAGTTTCATCAACACTTACAACAAGAAATACACACTTTTATGTCTTTCTAATGTAACTTGAGGCGTATCCATGGACATGTTTTTGAGCCTTCTTTGACAAAAAAATTTAGAAGTTCTGTTGACACTGTAAGTGTAACATATAAAACAACATGAAAGACACAATTTGTGATATTTTCAATCTACACTGTCATTTAGTCGTCATATTGTGGATGACCTCCTATTGTAATGGATGAAGTGCTGTTTTAGCTTATCCCACTTCTTTATATTTTCATTTTGATGATTGTTATAAGTTATAGGATGAAAAATCAAGCAAGAAATAAATGGAAAACAGATATTTGCATTCTTGTTTGTTTTGTTTCTGTTGTTCTAATCATTCTCATCATCAGCCTCTTCATAATTTTCAGAGACAGCATTAAAGCTTGACACTTTAGTTGGTGACATTGAGGATGCTGTATCTTCCACTCTGAGGAGGCATGCATTGAAAAATAATTCAGAAGTGAGTACCCTTATGTTTGTTTAGATTTCTTAGGCTAATTGAATTATGAAGGATAATTAAATTGGTATAAATATGAAATCGACTTTAAATTTTCCAATACCCATTAATTTTACAGAGAGTAAGATTTTTACTTTTCCTGTTAACGACCAATTTTTGGGATGTTATTTGTCGAATTTGTACACCTAAATAAGAGCTTAATTATGGGAACCAAGAAAATAGTTTTAGGACCCTATTAATCATGCATAATTATTTAAAAATTTATTGCATCTTTATCAATCTCATAAAATAACACGGCCTCCGTTTCTTAGAAATCAAAATCCAGAGTTTAATCTAAGTCAAAATCAATAATTAATTTTAACCACATATTTTATGAGATTCAGAACTTTCCAATCATACCTTTCGCTAACTTCTATAAAAAATCTACTAAAAATCTGATTTTAATCTCCTATCAAACAAAGGCTTAAATACGTCAAGCTCTTTTCCTAAATTTAATTAGGTTGAAAATATTTACTCTGATATTTTGCCTTTTTATTCCTTTACTTATTACAGGATACGCAGAAAAAGGCTATAAGAACTCTTAAATTGACAGAAGATGTTCTTATTTCAGTGACAAAGACACATCCTCAGTGGGAACAACTTGTTTCAGCTGTTGATCACCGAGTCGATAGAGCTTTAGCCATTTTAAGACCTCAGGCTATTGCAGATCATCGGGCCCTTCTTGTTTCTCTTGGATGGCCACCGCTTTTATCGACTTTGAATTCATCAAATCAAGATGAAAAGAGATCAAATGATGTCCAAAATCCTCTTTTCACAATGCAAGGAGACCTCAAGCACCAATACTGTGAAAGTTTCCTGGCATTATGTGGCCTACAAGAATTGCAAAGACAAAGGAAAATCCGTCAACTTGCGGGGCGTTATAGCGAAGTTGCTTTCCGTCAACCACTTTGGGCTATTGAAGAGCTTGTGAATCCTTTGTTCATTGAAGCTCAGCTCCACTTCTCAAAATGGATTGATAAGCCAGAGTTCATTTTTGCCCTTGTATATAAGATTACTCGAGATTATGTTGACTCTATGGATGAATTATTGCAACCACTACTTGACAAAGCAATGCTATCTGGCTACAGTTGCAGAGAAGAATGGATCTCCGCAATTGTATCTTCCCTATCAACATATCTTGCAAAAGAGATATTCCCTTCACATGTGAGTCAGCTTAATGAAGAGACCATTACAGGGACTGAGTCACAGGCTAGACTAGCTTGGCTACATCTCATTGATTTGATGATTGCATTTGATAAGCGAATTCGATCTCTGGTAGTACATTCAGGAATGTCGCTTTTCCTTGAGGAAGATGGAAATCTATTGAAAATATCTTCATTATCAGTATTTTGTGATAGACCCGACTGGCTTGATTTGTGGGCTGAAATAGAGCTTACTGATGTGCTAGATAAATTAACACATGAAATGGCAAATGATATTAATTGGTCAAATGAAGGTCAGGTAGCTTCTATTCTATCTGTGCAGGAAGATCATAAATCTCCTTTGATTTCCGGTGCTTTCCTTCAATATCTATCATTGGTAGTTGATCGTTGTCGATCACTTCCCAGCATCTCGTTGAGTTCAAGGTTTATAAGGTTGACAGGTGCACCTATAATATGTAAGTTCTTGGATTGTTTACTGCTGAGGTGCCAAGAAGCCGAGGGACTGACAGCTCTTGCAGATGACACTGCTTTAACTAAAGTTGCGAAGTCTGTTAATGCTGCTCGCTACTTTGAGTCCGTTCTTATAGAATGGTGTGAGGATGTCTTCTTTCTGGAGATGGGACTGAGCCAAGCTGATCAATTGGAAACACCAGAAGAAAATATTAGTACAAGCAGAAGGTCCATGGAAGCATCTGGAAATAGTATTTTCGATGAAGAAATCAGAAAGCTTGAGCTATTTAGAACAGAATGGGTTGAGAAGCTATCAACTGTTGTTTTGAGGGGATTTGATGCACGTCTCCGAGATTACATGAAGAACAAAAGGCAGTGGCAGGAGAAGGGGGAAGAAGGGTGGACAGTGTCCAGATCTTTTATTGGGGCACTAGATTACTTGCAGGGGAAAATGTCAGTACTAGAAGAAGGTTTAAATAAAAATGACTTCACCGGGGTCTGGAGAAGTTTGGCGACAGGGATAGATAGAATAATTTTTAATGGTATTTTGATGAGCAATGCGAAGTTCTATGATGGGGGAGTTGAGAGACTTGGGAATGATTTGGCAGTTCTCTTTGGGGCTTTTGGAGCTTGGTGTTTGAGACCAGAAGGTTTCTTCCCAAAAGTTAGTGAGGGATTAAAGTTGTTGAGACTAGCGAAAACACAGCTAAAGAATAATTTGGTGGGAGATGAAAGATGGTTAAAAGAGAATGGGATAAGGCATTTGAGTCCAAGTCAGGTTAAACAAATCACGAAGAACAGAGTGTACAGCGATTGAAGCATTTCGAAGTCCTTGAGTACACAAATTCTGTTTGGCACAGTTGGGAGGAAATCTAGTTATGTACTTCTGTGGTTCCTGGGAACTTATTCGACCGTTCTTTCGAGATTAACTTTACTACGAGTTGTCCAGACACACTCCCTTTAGTGTTCTCGTTATCATCACATGTCAGCCAGTCTACGATGGATTGATGAATTGTGAGAATTTCATTTCCTTGGTCATCGCCCATGTTTCTTACTTTTGTCCAATTTATCTATCTCGTACTAACATTCATAGAAAATTAATGTTTGTTTTGAGTTAGTGGGTGGGTGGGTGTAAATGTAATTAAAGTTGTTACTAATATATGACTTGCGAATGTCCGGTTTGTCCATGGAATGTATATTTTTCAGTCAGATGGTTATATTAACACCACAATTTTCATTTGTTATACTACACGTTAATGGTAGCTAAGTTTCTCAATATTTGCTCATTGTAGCAATTATTTCTTGATTTTTTTTTTTTTTTTGGGTTGAATTGTTATTTTCAACCTTTCATTATTTTATTAATTTCGTTCTTGATGATTATTTCTGTCGAAGTACTTTGTTTTCATGCTCCGAAATGAGGGAAAAATATTTTTTTTAAAAATGATGAAAAATAAGTAATTATACGTTATTTTAATGGATTTTTTAGACATAAAATGTTATCAAATTCAAAATGTGTTAATTAATGAAAAGTTTGAGGATAAGAATGTCATACCAAATCGTTAGGGACATAAAAATATCGGATATTTCAAAAAAAAATTCCACCAATTATCCATGGCCGGGAATAAAATAATTGTTTGTAGTGACTAAAGATTGAGAACCTAAGTGTAATTAAAATATAGTGCAAGAAATACAAATTATAATGTGAATATAATTATCCATTTTAGTTTATGTTTAGTCTCCATTTTTTCAAATATTCATTTTTTTAAAATTCATTTTCAATTACATATTTTTCCATAAAATAATTTTACATGTAAATAAAAAACTTTTCATTTTTTTAACGATATATTCTATAAAAAATTACTATTCTAAAATCATTTTCTTACCAAAATGGAGTTCAAATAGGACCTTAATATTTGTTTTATATTTACGTAAACTTTTAAACTTGTCTAGATACATGGAAACGATGACAATTTAATATAACTGGTAGTTCATCAATGATCCTAAAGTATGGTGGTACTAAAGATGATCCTACAAGGGTTTTTTTATTTTTTATTTTATTTTATTTTTTTATTTTTTTTGCGCGCATCTTATTGATGGATTATAAAAACCTTGTGAATTGACTTGGGTTAGAATTGTGGTTCTGTGGTATTTACACATCTTTTGACCTAATTGATTATTCTTTACCTCGAGATCAAATTAGGAATTGTGTAGTGAAAATGTATAGTGTACCTGAAGTTATTCTTATAATATGATTGACTTCGACTTAAAAGAGATGAGTAGTCCTAAATCTCATGAATAAGTGTGTCAAGTTTTTTAGTAGGAGGAACGATTATATATTTCAATACCATTCTTTTGTATTTTAATTAGGATTTCATATGACTTTGTGTATCTATATATAATTTTTTTTATTTTTTGTATTTGGTGGTGGAATTTTGGAGTGATTGCTAACATATCATCTTCAAAACTCCTACGATATTCGCTCCGAACCTCTATGAAATCTAAAGAAGAGATTCTAAAGGTTGTTGATTCTGCCAACTACTCTGTCTCCAAGATGTCTCTATCCCTTTCTTTCTCTATTTGTGCATGTGTGCGAGGATAGCTTAACGTTATGATTCTTGTACGAGTTTGGAATATAATGGTCAAGATTTAACTTTCTTTACTTCAAATCACTCTTGCAAAACTTTGTTTTAAAGTAATTTACGGATTTGATTTGATTGTTAATGTGGAATTTAATAGGGTCAACTACCAATGACCATCTAACTTTATACTTAGAGTGTGTTTGATTGACATGAAAAATATCAACTACAAAAGAAAATATTTTCCATTTTTTGTGGAAAATAAAAACCACCTCTACCCAAAGAAAATATTTTCCTTAAAAACAAGGAAAATTAGACATATTTTCAAAAGTCGGAAAATGTTTTCTATGGAAAAAAATAGCAATCAAACACTCAAAGTAGAAATTTGGGTGGAAAACTAATATTTTCCATGGAAAATAAATGTAATCAAACACACCCTTATTGTCACTATAACCACCTAATTTGATTTTGTTTCACTATGATCACCCAACTTTATATTTAATGTTATCATGATCATCAAATTTGATTTCATTTTACCATGGTCATTCAATTTGATATAACATTTTACTATAACCATCCAACTTTTTTTCACTATTTTTTACTAATTTTAAAGGGGTAAAATGGTAACTTTGCATTATCTATAAAACAAATTTTTAAAAAACAAAAATAAAAGTTTTTTTTTTAATTTTAAAAACTTTTTTTTTTTAAATAAGTTTTTATTTTATTTTTTAGGTAGCGTTTTTTTAAATAATTTTCTATTTTATTTTATTTTTTAAGTAACGTTTTTTTCAAATAAATTTTTATTTTATTTTATTTTATAAACAAGTTTTCATTTTTTTAAAAATTTATTTTTATATATAATACAAATTTACCGTTTTACCTCTTTTAAAATTAGTGAAAAGGGTGAAAAGGAATTGGGTGGACATGGTGAAATGTTATATGAAATTAGGTAGTCAAGATAAAATATTTTATGAAATTAAGTGGTTATGATGAAATAAAATCAAATTGAGTTGCCATAATGACACTAAGTATAAAATTCGGTGACTATAGTGAAACAAAATAAAATTGTGTGGTTATGGTGACACTAAATATAAAGTTCGGTAGCCATTGGTGGATTTAGCTATAGAATTGTTGATGAGAGTAATGAATGATCATTTATTTTATTTATTTTTTTTTTTTGGGGAAGTTTTGCTTTATATTGAAGATGCAACACCGAAATTTGTTTCAACATTATTTTCATTTCCAAAATTTTCAATTAGACAACCAATCCTAGAGGGAACTAGAAGAATTAATTGCTGTCAAAGCTGTATAAATCTAGAATATGCTAATTAATAATTTACCAACATAGAATAATGTAGAATAGATTAAGTCGGTTCCTAATCGATATTGGGTCATATAAATATAAGCTCCATGTCATTGTATACATTAATGAGTGTGTGTGTGTGTGTGTGTGTGTGTGTGTGTGTGTGAGAGAGAGAGAGAGAGAGAGAGAGAGAGGCACACATATATGTGTGTGCTGTGTGAGAAAAGATTAATCAAGTGAGTTGGTTGAGTGAATTAGTAAGAGAAATAAGTAAAGTGCTACTCAAATTAGTGGAGAGATGTTTTGTATGTCTGTTCATACAATAATTTGTGAAGTGTTGCTCTCTAAGAAAATAAATTTTTGGATTTTAAACTAAACAATTTGGTATTAGAGCTCAATAATTTGGTATTTGAGCGAGGCAGTATGGGACGGATTTTTCGGGTTTCTCGAGATCGTGTACAAAGGGAGATTGTGAAGCTTAGTAAAGCTGCTTGATTATTAGGAAGTAAATCAAGTTACGATAGGCAACCTACAAATGTTAGGCAGAGTAAAGAAACTCAATAATCAGAACTATGCAACATTGTAGACTTGCATGCAGTCATGCCTTCAAGTGTAAGATCTATGGAATGCTATTGGCGAAAGTGACATGATACTATCAAATAAAGTCTCGACTCTAAAGAAATGGAGAATTAAATTAAGTAAGACCATGTTCGTTATAAAGACAGTAATCGATGAAGATTTGATAGAGCATATAAGGACAAGAACACACCAAAGGAAGCATGGGACACTTCTGCCTTACTATTCTCGAAGAAATATGATTTGAGGTTGCAACTTTTCGAGAATGAGATTCTCTCTATTACTCAAGAAAAATTAACGATAAGTCAATTTTGACAAAGTTAAATCACTCCATCGCAAAAATTTTGAATTAAATTCTTTGAGTAAGATTTCGGATTCTAGAATGAGAAGAATAATTATACATGGTTTGAGACCCAAATTTAGGGGTTTTATTGTTGCAATATAAGGTTGATTAGAGCAACCTTTATTAATTAATCTCAAAAATTTGTTGGTTGACCAAGAGGCAATGAACGAGCAAATGTTAAAGGTCTTAACAAAGAAAGAAAATGAATAAATCATTTTTAGCTATAAAAGAAAAGGCCAATTCTATCAACAAAATAATAAATAATTAAAAGAAGGTAAATTGAAAGGACTAGTTGAAAGAAGTTACCAAGACAAGAGGAGCCCAACAATATTGCGACAAGAGAGGTCAGTTGTCTAAAGGATATCAATGAACTAACGGTTCGTACTTTATATGTGGAAAACGAGATCACTATGCTAGAGATTGTTAATTTTCAAAAGGAGCCAATTAAAGGCAATATAGCAACCTCCTACGAGCGAGAGAAATACAATAGCGAAGAGAATGAGATGCGAGACATTGACAATAATAACTAAGCAGACTCGAGACAAGAAAATTAATTCAAATCTAAAGGACAAAATCAGCATTGGTGGTAGTCCTACTGAACAAATGGATTGTGAGGATGATTGGATTGATGACTCAGTAGACGACATCGTGGTTCATAAAGAGGCTTTTCGATGGACTCTGCAGAGAGAAGAACTACCAGAATCATAAGCAATGTTTGAAGAAACATATTCTTGGCAGATACTGCAAAGGGTAAAGATTGTTGGTTTAAAGGAGCCAGTAGAAGACAATATAGCAACCTTCAACGAGCAATATAATACAAGAGTGAAGAAGAATGGGATGTTGAGTCATCCACAACAATAATTGAGCAAACTCGAGAAAGAAAATTAATTCAAATCTAAATAACTAATCAATGTTGGCAGTAGCCCTATTGACAAATGAATTGTGAAGATGATTGGGTCGATAACTCAGAAGAGGACATCTTGGTTTGTAAAGAGTCTTTTCGATGGACTCTGTAGAGGATGAAACTACTAGATTCATAAGAGGTGTTTGAAGACAAATATTCTTGGCAGACACTACAGAGGGCAGAGCTATTAGATTTAAAGGAAATATAAGACAAATTATAAAAGTGGATTATAGAAGTACAACAAGAAGGCCCAAAGGAATCTAAAGATCTAAAAGTGTCAGGTAATAAAGAAGGCTTATTAGAACGACACAAAGTTATTCGTAAACTGGTGCAGAAGGAAATACTAACGAATGATCGACAGAGTTAACAAGAGATCGAGGTATGTACAAATTCATATCCACAAATAAGGAAGTCGTACGGAAGTGAGAAATCAAGTACCAAGTATAATAGCCTAAAAATGGAAGAAGATAAAAGAATAAAAGAATCAAATATATTTTAAGTAGCAAATATACTGAATAAAAAACTAAGCACTTCAAAATTCGTCAGGGCAAAGTCCAACG